GTTGAAAATACAAAAACATTTTATCAAAACTACCACTAAAGCATCAGAACAAACTTGAGAAATAAATGGAGCCATAATTGGGCTGAAGCCCAAGGACAGAATTTAAAAACAGAAGCTAATATCCCAATCCCTTTTTCCACCTCTACCAGAATCTTTCCTAAATTGCATAGTCCCATAGCGGTCAAAGGTTTCTATATTCGTTTAGCAACAGTGGGAGAATTTTATGTGGCATTCTAATTTAACAGAGCTGTAATGGAGCAAATTTTGATGCAAGCAAAGTATTGCTAAGTTGATATTTCAACTGTTTGGCAATACATTTCCATTTAAAAAAAAGGGTTGAAATAATTTAAATTAAGAAAATTAGTAAATAATTTAAATTAGTGAAATTAAAAAAATTATCAAAGAAAAAATTTCCAGGTCTTTTTTAAAATTCCCTGATTTTTCCAGGTTTTTATTCAAATTTCCCTGATATTTCCAGGTTTTTTCCAGCATAGAAAAATTCCCTGATAATTCCAGGTTTTCAAGGTTTTCCAAGTGGGTGGCCACCCTGTAATAGTATATCCTAATGGTGGGCCTCCTTTAAAATAATACAGCACACTAACCAGGCAATTTTGAGGAAATTCAAGCATATTTAATAAACTAGTTCAATCTTCAAATCTTCTCTTCACTAGTGACACAGTAGTCCAGAGTCGGAACATTCATGCAGAACTATTTCTTTCCCAAATTTTTCTCTGTTTGCAAATAGTTTAAATATAATTTAATTTATTTATTATTTTATTAGATATTTCTTAATACTTAAATTACAGTCCTTATTTAATTTTTCAACAAAATAGAAAAGGTTAAAATAATATTTATAAATAGAGCTTATAATAGTTAAATAGTTATTTTTTTTAATTTTGTATAAACACTTTGCTTTATAAACAAACAATAATCTGGTTTATAATTGTAATAAAAACATTAAAAACGAAAAATTAATTGGCATCCTACACATTAAACAAAAGATAATTTTCAACATAAACATTTTCAAAAATTGTCTGCAGAAAAACTTACTTCATTAACATGCAAAAGCTTAGAATTGTATCGATTATATCTTATCATTTTATTAAAAGTAGGTAAAAGATTTTTTTTACATTTTAATGTAGTTTTCATGAAAATCAATTCATCGAATTTGTTTAAACAATTATGCAGAATTATATAAATACTTTATTACTTTTTTCCTGTCTATAAAAATAAATGACACAAGGATTAACAGATTAATACATTTGAAGGAATCACCTTATCTAACTTTTTTATTATTATAACCACTGCTTTTAATTATTTTAACTTATATCCTTTTATTGAAAGATTTCATTATACCTGTAATTTAAATGTCAAATAATATCTAGTAACTAAAAAAATTAATAAATAAAATATTTTATATTTATATACTACTATTTACAAACGGAAAAAATCTCTATTAGTTAAATGAAAGCAAGAAAAAATAATATAATGTAAATGTCGGGTATAATAAGTAAAAAATGAGACAATAGCTAGTGCATAACGTATGCTTAAATATTAAAATGTGTTTTTTCTTGGAATTGGCTGGATAGTGAGCTTTATTATTTTAAGGGGTTATTACCCTAAAGGTATATACTAATATACGGAGTTTCACCTCCCACTAAATATCTAAAGGCATCCTTTCTTCTTATGAATTTAGCAAAATTTGATATGCATTGTATGCTCAATTATTTAAATATTTTCAGATATGCATTGGGAGTTGAAACTATTTTTATAGCTTTGCAAGAAAAACAATTGTAAAGTTATGTTAAATAAAAAACTAATTTCCCAATGTCTTCAAAGCTTTTTATGTATTCGGCAGAATTCTATATGCATTCTCAAAATTCATTTTAAAAAGATTGAGTGGTTTCTCGGATTTTACACTAAAAAATCTCGCATGCAGACTCTTAAAGTACTATATGTAGCACATTTAAATAAATGAAATAATAAAAATATATAAAATATAAAAATAAAAGAACATTACTAACCTCAGTGCCCTCTTTAGTAATTGAGTCTTTTAAAATAAAGTCCACATCAATGCCATTAAAATAATTCGAAACTCTCAACCAGATTGCACGAACATTAAAAAACTTATAATTCTTTGATTCATTCTCTCCTTCAAGGAATGATAATTTATGATTAATATCATGCGCTGATAAACCATTAATATCTTTTTCTAGAAATAAATTTCCATCAATGTTTAAACTATTAAAGTTCTTGCTCATCAAGAATGTTTGTCCTTTATTTTTTTGTAATGCACTTTCAAATAATTCCTGAAAGTAATATTGTTTCAGTTATTAAAAATCTTCTAAATAAAAATCTTGAAATAAAAATGCTTAAGAAAAATTTCAAGCCTATTACTAACCGAAAATGAGCCACATTGATTTATCTGTCCATTAAACGTTAAGTTTTTAACATAAACAGAAGAAATCTGGAATGCATCAGCATGCAGTGGATCTTCAACTTTTAGAAGCTCAGAAAACATTACATGATCAAGTGTAGCATTCAGATCAACCTTTACTAAATAAAAATGAGCATATAAAATACAAAAATGTTTTAAATATAACAATTTTAGATAATAGTAAGGATAGACAATTTATTTCTCTATGCTACAGCTTATATATAGTATTATTTAAATATTTTAAATCAAATATACTAAGTGCACAAATATATAAAATTTACTTGATGTGTCAAACTAGCAAAAAATGGTTTTAAAATTAATTGTAACAGTAATAATACTGAATATCTGATGTTTTTATAATAATATTAATAGTAAATTTTTTGTACTTTTTATTACTACAACCATAAAAAAAAGTTTGAAAACATTTAAAGTTGAAGACTTATGAGACTAACTTTTAATTTTAAATACAGAAATGAGGCTCTTTTTATAAAAATTGATTGTATGGCACTAAAATTTCAAAATTAAAAGTCTGGAGCTGCAGTGAAAATAAACAAAATAATATATAAAAATAAGTTTAAAAAATTTCACCATCTTCTATTGTTATTATATTAAAATAAAAATTACAAAATGTGTCTATAAGTTTTTCACACAGTACTTGTAATCTAATCTTTAATCAAAAATTTGAGAATTAAAACATGGAGATTTTATAAAAAAATAAAAATAAAATGAAGATTGAAGTTAAAAACAGAATTTTTTTCTGATGAGAAAAATGTATAGTTTACACCAAGCAGACAAAGTTAATTCAATATAAATATAATAGCTTTTTAAGTGAACATTCTTATTATGAAATAAGGCAGAAACAGATTTATAGTAAGGAAAAAAAAGTGTATAAGTATTAAAAACAATAATACACAATATTCAAATATATTTAATTATATATTATTTCTATAAAACATTAGGACATATTAGAACAAAATTTGAGGTCCCAGAGTTATCTTTAAAAGAAGTTAATATTTAGTATTATGCTGCATCACTTCATTCTTTTAACAACAAACTTATGATTTGGGGTCAATTAGTCACATCACTGCTTTCAGCATCCTCAAGAAAAAAAAGGTTTTAAATAAGTTACATGTGTAAGGAATAGACAGCGCTATTACACATGTTTATTACATGTGTAAGGAAGTCAGTTTTTCTTTATCTACATATGATAAGCAACTAACACAATCATGTTTTTAATATTGTCAATTAAATCAGATTTGAAAAACTAAATGTAATGATTATTAAAAAAGGAACATTTTCAAAAATAAAAGCGTATTTCAATAAATAGAAGTAGGCAAGAAAAAAAAATCAAAACTTTTAACAGCAGAAATTTTTGAACGACAAAGCAGCTTTGAAAACATAAGACACAAGTAAACATAAATGTACTTAGATTACTTAAAACAAATGATTTATTTTACTTACAAGAGGGTGTTGAAAAATTTGACTGAAAAGTAATCACTTTTTGGATGATATTTCGAGAATTTTTTAGAAAAGCATTCATACTCAGATCATTGATTGAAACATTATTTATTTTACCATCTAGCCACAAGTTTTCAGCAGAGAAAGATCTGTAAATAATATTAAAAAGAATTCTTAACATGATGTATATATGCTTTATTTTTATGGAGGGTTTTAATATACATTTATATTTTCTATACATGCAATAAATTTCAGAAAGTGTTATCACAATAGAATCGGATAAATCAAAAAATAAAATCTGCCGCATAATTGGATAATTATTACTAACTTTAACTATTTGTTACCTCCTTCTTACTTCTAATAATAATACTCCCAGTTTTTATAATACTTTTTATAATAAATTATGAACATAATACTAGTAGACAAAAAACACCAATAAAATCTTAAATGCAGAAAAAATTTAATTATATGCAACATTATTAATACAAAATCATCATCCCCACATACTATCCAGTTGTGTTATAAAATTAAATTGTGTTAAAATTATTCCCACAAATTAAAACACCTAAAAATCTAATTCTTAGGTTTAAATTATTTCCATCATTTCAAGAAATTTTTTTAATTAATAATTTGTGCATTAATAATAACCTTCAAATCTTGAAGAAAAAACCTCACTACTCCTCTATCCTCAAAACGCAAATTTATCATAATATAAATGACATATTTGCGGGGGGGGAATTCCCTAAAGACAAACCTTCAGTTGAAAACCAATGTTCAGTTGAAAACCAATTCAAACAATGTCTGCTGGAATAACTTTAATACATTCTAACAATTTGCAAATTAACATTTTATAAATATTTTTCTATTTCTGCAAAATCATTCAATCAAAATGTTTGATAAAAATAACAAAATATTTTCTACTATCAGTATCGTCATTAATTCTGTAATTTCATCGTTATAAAAACTTTGAATATATTTTGAAATACATGTTATATAAAAGAGTTCTAAAATATTAAAACAAATACTTCAAAATATATAAAAGAATAAATAAAAGAGATTAACCCTCAAAGTGATCAGCCTCAGGAGAAAACTGTACTGAAATTTCCGTGCAATGCAGTACCTCCTCTATGAAAAACAAGGGGAAAATTGTTTTGTTTTTTAACAGGAAAGCCTGAAGCTTAAATATTCAATCAAAACTAATGTTAGAGGGTTAAATAAACTTCATTGTTAATTGATCAATGAAAAAAAAAACTCAGTAATGAGATTAGCACTTACAACACTTTCTTTTGTAGAACTTTTTTTTAAAGAATAAATATATCATTTGACTATATCTTTAATAATACTAATAATTATTAAAATCAAATAAGCTTACCCAATAAACTCCTTGCGAGAAATTATTAAGCTTGAAACATCACGTAGAACAACTGAATTCAAATCAATTAAATTTGATACATTAAGTACTTTAAGATTTAATGAACTTGAAAACATACAAGTAGCTAAAATCTTTTGATTGGAATCCAAAGTAACAACAGAATCATACAATCTGTTGAGATCTTTTCTATTCAAGAAGCCGGTAACAACCAATTTCATTGCTAGAAAAAATTGAAGCAATTACTGTACAATACAAATAAATTAAAATAGAACATTTCTAAAAGAATAAAATTGTTCAAGTAACAATTTTAAAAAGAGTGATTATTTTTGTTCTGGAATATTATAGAATGTAAAACAACATAGAATCATAAATAAGAATAGAAGCATACATAAATAAATAAGAATAGTTAGAAGCATATTTTGGTGCCATAAATAAAAGGAAGCTAAACTGCCTCTGGAAAATTTTAAAGGAAATCAACTTATTCGCAATCTCAGTTCTGAAGAATCAATCAGAGTTAAGATAGTGAATATTATTTTCTTTTTGCTCGTGGCATCAAAATAATTGTATCTTAACTAATTTTATTACACACATTTTTAATTTTGCATTGTTTTAATTTTAGAATCTATGTTATTTAGAAATGTTTACCTTTTATATTCATGAATTTTGCACTGAGAATGTGTTTTTGTGGCATCAAAGTAGATAAAAAATAATTATCAATGTTCTTATCTTTAAATGTAGAAAATTTAAGATTTTTTGAGAGTAAACTCTTCAGCTGGACTCTATCAAAAGCTGTTCTGCCTAAAAATAAGTTTTCAAAAAAATTAATAAAGCAGAGCAAATAGTAAATATCCTAAGAAATTTTATTAATAATAAACAGAAAATATTTAGAAAAAAAAAGCACTGAAACCTTATTTATAACAATTTCCTCTCTAGTAATTGAATGAAATATTTTCTACACTCAAGCACATAATCATTCTTATAATCATATTTGTATAAATTATTTACTTGAACAAACAAATCAAATATTACACATCAAAGTCAACAAAATTATTTTTTTAAAAAATGGTTTCAAATTTCATAAATTTATTTAATCAGATTATCCAGAATGTTGCTGTAGCTCCTATTGTAATTCTTTCTTAAATTACAATGAGAGATAGGGAGTCTATTTTAACATCAATAATACAATGGAAGAATCACTGATTGTAAAATGAGGACAGAACATAGTAAAGTAACAAGATAATTCTGAAGACGAACTTTCTTGGGTTAACAACTTTGTTTTTTTAACATATGTAACAACATTCAATTCGACATTGCAGCATATATTGAACAATGAAAGGCCATGTTAAGAAAGTAAAGGAAATAGTATTTGATTGAGTGCACACATTAATACCAATGATCATGCATCATATTATGCATAAGGGGACAATCAATTTAACATTTGCATTCATTTATTTTCCATTCAATTTTCAAATAGTTTCACATTCAGTCCTTCTGTTACTTATACTTATAAATAAAAAAATCAATATCCAGCAAGGTTAAACAAAAGTAGACTAGTACAGAATGTAAACAAAATCCACAATTTTGAATCAAAACTCAAGGGTCAAAAGAAGGGCTATCCCAACATTAGCTTCATTTTTATGTAAATTTTATTTTTTTAAAAATTCTTGTTTACAATAGAACTTTATGCCAAAAGCAAGAAACATGAGATAGAATTTATCATCCAAAATACAAAGGATGACAAACACGTTATTTCCACCACAAGTTATTTTTAACACACACTCTCATGCAGAGGGCTCTGCCATTATAGAATACTGAACAATTTTAAACAAAACCAATGTTATTGTAATTAGCACTCCTTAGCATCACTAATTTTTAGTAATTCTTACTTTTTTAACAAATGGTTTCAAATTTAAGCAAAAATAGATTAAAATTTAAATATTTTAAAAGCAAAAAAGACATTCTTGCAAATATGATAAATAAGTTTACTAAAATATTCTACTTACCTTTGCAAATCTGAAGTTTTTTAGTATGCATTAAATCAGACATTAAAACATTATTCAAAACAGGCACATCGATGTTACCTTTTACATGCATATCTTTAAATATGAATGAAAAATTCTTGGTCACGAAAGCATCCTAAATAAATTAAAGGGAAGAAAATAACTATTTTTGCTTTATAATGAAACAGATTAAATTTTTTTTTTAATTTTGAACAAAACATTTTTACATATCATCTGTTTATTAAGACAGTTTTTTAATTTTTACATTTTAGTTAATATCCATAAATCATAAATAAATGGTTGAATACAAAAATAAAGGTAAAACAAAAATAAAGGTAACTAGTCATAATAAAACATTATACATAAGAAAAAGCATTAAAATCAATATATGCCGTATTGTAACAATAAAAGTGTGAAAAAAGTTTCATTTGTCTTTATAGAAAATCAAATTTATAATTTCCTTGTAGTTAATAAAACATTTTATTAGAAAAAATTTATTGTTAAACATAGTAAAAACAGTTAGGAAGCATGAATCATGAAACTAATCTGTAATATGAAAGAAAAATATACAAAGACTATCGCAAGTAATCTTAAAAAATAGAATCTCCTTGATATATATCCAATTTTTAATCAAACAATGACCTTGCCCTTCAAAACTAACAAATTCCAAAACATATTTTTGACGAGTAGCAGATGTGAAAACTTTAAGGAATGGATAATGTAGAGTTTAATGATACAAGAACCAGATTTGGTTGCATTCTACCAAGTACAGCAGAGAAAATTTAAGTCTTATACGGGGGGAACTTTGATTAATTTTATTTTCTTGACACAAAAGGAATATAAATAAATTATTTTCACTCCTGCTAAGGAGGTCATGGAAGTTAAGGCTCTGCAATTTTTTGAATCAACAGTATGATGAGGGCAATATGGTATTTAATGTATTGCTGTTGCCTTTAATCAGTCTAACAACTAACAAAAAGCTTACTTGCTATTTAAAAAAAAGCATTTTGGCTAACTATTTTTTACCACACAAACAGATAGATTTTCACAATACAAAATAATTTCTACTAGCTACCCTTCAATGAGAATGTTATTTAAATATAAAAATTTCATATTATTTCTAAATCTTTGTGCACATTTTAAAATAAATAAATAAATACATAAATCTGAATTGTATTGAATATCAAATTTGAAAGAATACTTACATCAATGTTGATAAGCTTTTCTCTTGAGGTTGATGCCATAGAGCTCAAATGAACATCATTTAAAAATATTTTCTCTGAATTAATATGAGAATCTGAAATTGTTAAAACAATGTCTTGCAGAGAAATTCCATTCACTGTTTGCACTTGTAGGTTTTGTGTTAATAATCTTCTGTAACGTCCTTCAGAAACATTCTATAAAGTACCAGGAATTACAAAAGTCAATTATTGCCAAAATTGCTAAACATTTGAGAACATACCCATTGAACATTTTAATATCTGTGATAAGCTAATTTTGTCAATTTAAGGTCAAAATAAATAAATTAAACACTACTCAAAACATTGTTTTTTGACCTTCTTTTTATACACATTCATATAAAGAAAGAGATTTCAGAATAATAATCAACACATACTAAATTAAAAATAAATAGCACAATAACAATTTTAAAAATGCAAATAAAAAAAATTTTATTTAAAAAATTTTTTTACAGAGAGGTCAACTCAGTTTCAATAAAGATATCTAAGTTAGAATCCATTTTAGAGCACAATTTTAAGCTTATGTAAAATTAGAATGGATTGGATTGATACAATGACAGTTTTAAACAGATAGTTGTACAATCTGTCAATCCTTTAATTCAGCTAAGTTTTTTTTTCCTGTCATTAGCAGTATTTTATTATTTTATTTACAAAACATTTTTGCAAACTTTTAAAATGGAGTAATAGAAGTATTTTTGTTTGAAAGCTAATAACAAAAAAGGTATCTGAACAGCCATAATACAAAATTACAAGTTTTTATGTTTGTGATTTAGCAAAATCTAAACACTAAATAAATGTTTACAATAAATATAAATAAAATATACACTAAATAAATATAACACTAATGAAATGAAACTTATATCAACAATAAGATTGAGAATTATAAGAATTTGAAACATAGCCAGTCCTAATTTCACCAGAAATTAAGGATTCCAAAAAATTTCAAATTCAAAACATGCTGTAAGTTCCTTGTTCAATTTGTATACTTTAGGCAAAATACACCACAAATCTTTTGACTAAAGAAAAAATTGCCTAAAAATTTGTTCACTATGTTTAAAAAATTATTATAAATGGAAAAAAATTATACTATTTTATGAATTACATTATAAAAACTACTAAATGCATTTATATACTAATGATAGAGCTTAAAAATTCGGTTTCATTAAAATTATAGAGTTCCAATGGTAAAAATATTTTTAAAAAATCATTAAATGGTTATCACTAACAGGAAAGTGATAATCATGATATTATTTCGTTGAATTATAACCAAAAAGTTTGTTTAATTACCTCTTTTAAAAAATGAAATGACTAAAAAAATATCTGAAATTTTGGAAAATTATGGGGGTGGTACTTGCTCCTATATTTCTACCTAAAGCCAAACCAATGGCTATTAATTAAAATATACAATTTATCATTTAAAAATAATTAATGACTCTATTTTAAATTTATTCTTGCTGTTACCTATTGTTAAACAAGAGAAGTTAATTAAAACTAGGTGAACTCTATATACATATAGTCTAAAAAAATAGGTTAACATCTGAAAACTCTAAGATTATGTTATTTACATGCAAATTGGAAAAATAATTTCAATATTAATTATAAAAAATAGGAATGCACAATTTATTTACAGTTTAACATAACTTTAGTTAGTAATAGTAACATTTCAAGACCTATTTGTTAAGTTTTGAAATAACAATTATCCTACATAATGTGCAATAAATATACATTTTTAATTTGTGAACAAAAAAATTTATAAATTGATTTAGTCATTTGGACAAATGTTTAAACAATGACACAATGTCAAACAAGCACCACTAGTCTAATGAAATGCTAATGAAATTAAAAATGATACCACTAAGAATATCTACTCAGTTAGATTTGGCAAGATAAATATTTTTGCATGACCTTAAACGCAATTTTTAATTCTTACAATTATAATATACTTCGTTATGAAACATGAGGTTTGGAATCAATTAATCTGTTGAAATTCGAAAGTTTATAAACTATTTTATGTTTTAAAAATGTTTAATGTAATTTCTTATTCAGCTTAATATTCAACAAATGAAAATGGAAATTTCTTTAAGAATGCTTTACAATATAAACTAATATTAATGAATAAAAAAAATGTTAACTGCATGATAATTTGCAACTAAGATGAATTTAACACAAACAAATGGACAAAATAAAAAGGAAGAAATATCATTATGGGGCTTTGCGATTGTAAAATCTACATTTACCTAAAGAAGGTTTTGAAAGTATATTTAATCAATCACACGCTTCCAAAAGTGTACGATAAATTGAAGCTTAAATATGATAAAAAGTTTTATCTAAATGTATGCTGTATTGCTATGAAACAAACTATGTAAAGGAAAGAGGTTTAAAACACAAAATTTTGTTAGGACAATAAACGTGAGAAGAGATTAAAAAGTTGCCAATTGAACTTATAGTTAAAAGAAGAACATTTAAACATTAAACATTAGAACAACAAATAAACAAGCAACATTAACTAATAGTCAGTTTTATGGAAGTAGTTTACATTACAAAGCCGTATTTTCACAGTATTTTACGAAATAAAATTAAAAAAACTGAAAGAAATATTGAAACTCAAAAAAGGAATTCATAATATTCAGAATATTAAAAATCATAGATACCTGAAATTTTTTCTTGAGCCAAACATTATTTTTAAGAGTAAGAAGGATATTCTCGATTCTGGAATCAGTTATGTTAATGCTATTTTCAACAATCAAATTTTTGAAAATGAAGTCTTTAGTAAACACAGTGAAATTTTTCTGAGGAAGGTACTGTATTTCCTTTGATAACTTCAATGCATTGATAGTACCATTATTCTCAACTATTATATCAAGAACAATAACTGGCTGTAAAAAATGTACTTTCCTTTTAACAACAGACATTCCGAACATTAAAACGGCATCCTGGCTAAAATCAATACCATTTATGGAGTTGGTAGCAATGCTATTAGGAGAAAACTTTGTAAAAAAGAAAGTACCAGGTAGAGTTTGAGAAGTTTTCAGTGTAAAGAGATGATTAAAATCAAAATTATTTATATATCCAAGAATCGACATATCCTTAATTTTCACAGGTTCATAAAATATCTTCTTCCCTGAAATGAAAAAAAATTAATTACTAGAAACTAAATGAAACAAATTATTCAACAAAAAATCATAAATTAAAAAACTTACAAATGAACACTTAATGGTTATTATAAAATATTCAGAGAAAAAATACTTAACACCTTCATATGGGAAACTTCATTTGAGGCTTGAAAATAAAACAGCATCACTTAAAAGAAATATTTTTTTCACTATTTTAATTTAATTTAAAAAGCATGAAGACATTGATTATGGCATTTTCTACTCCATCTTATAATAGTAATGATAACTAGTATTATTGGAAGTGTTCAGTAACATATTTTCTTCACATGAATCCATTTTAAATACTTTCCATGAAAAAATTATGTTATATTTACAAAACAGGCAAATAGTTTAAGACACTCATATGGCTATAATAAACTATTGATAGCTATAAAAAGTTCCATCTTCTATGCATAAAATGTTCAGTCTTGAAAGCATTCAGACATAAAAGCTGAAAAGTAATGGAATATTTTAATTCTCATAAAAGAGAATGTTCTTATGTCATGTAACTCAAATATTTTAAACATATTTTATTTGAATTGGATTATATTAAATGTGAGGTTTAACAGCCCAATTTGCTGCCATACTCAAATAATATTCAAATTGTAAGGTAATGAAATCAAATAGTATTTTAAATTAAAACTGGAATTAAAAAAAAGGGAAAAAAATAGGAAACAAAGTTAAAAAAATTTAAAAATCACTGGTATACTGTATCTTTGAATCTACATTCATAGCTGCCAATGCTTCTGTATTGCCAGAAGATTTTATATTTAAAGTGGTAGCAAAACTCGTGTTATTTCATTAAACTTTTTGAATTATAATAATAATCATAAATGAGTTTTACCACCACTACACATAAATAATTACAACAAATACTTAAAATCATAATAGTCTTTACAACAGCTAATTTTAACCTGGTCAAAATATAAATATATTTAAGAGTAAGATAGTTTTTAGGCAATTGTTTTACTACCACTTGGAAAATCCATTCTTGGAAAGAGTAAAAGTTGACAGGTATGCACTATTACTTGAAGACAATAAATTTTCGAAGGAGCATTTTTAATAGCAAGAAAGAATACAAAATAAATTTTTTGATAATTATAGTCTTGAAACTTCATTAAGTACAAGGTAATGAAATCAAATAGTATTTTTAACTATAACTGGAATTAAGAATAAAAAGAAAGGAAAAAATAGGAAATAAAATAAAATATTTGAAAAATCACTGGTATACTGAGTTTTTAAATCTATATTAACCTGAAGACAGTAAATTTTGGAAGGGGCATTTTTAATTGCAGGAAGAAACAATACAAAATAAATTTTTCGATAATTATAGTCTTGAAACTTGATTCGTTAAATAATTTGTCACTTTTGATTTAAATACATTTCCTTTTTAGGCACTATAGTCTGACGAAGAAAAGGAGGTAAAACTCGGACATCCTGATAATAACAGAACTCACAAAGAAGGCCAATTCCTTAAAACCAGGGAAGTGATTGATATCCCATAATTCATATTAATAACAATGAAATGAGGTTTTTAAAAGTTATTTAATTATCTCAGAATAAATTTTCACATAAAATAAAAATATATATTTTAAAAAGAAATTCTGTATTAAAAAGAAAAAGATAGATCAAAAATAATTACCTTTTATAGTTTCAATTTTATTCTTTTTGACAGAAGCCAAAAACAACTTAGATAAATCCTTCCCATTTATGCGTTTGACAATTAAATTATCCAAAATGGTAATGTCACCATCAATAATCATTTCTTTATATATCATATTGCCTATTCGAATGACATTCTTTGCATAATCTGTAATATTTAACTGAAATGAAATATAAACATTTAAAAAGGCATAATTAAGATGTTTATAAAAACATTGTTACTGGTGAACACATTATTTGTTTAATGTTTAATAAGAAAGTATAAAAAAAAATGCTTAATATGGAAATTTAATATAGTTAAGCTTTAGTTCTTACACTAAGGATTCATAGTGCAAAATGAAGATGAATAAAACACAAATTAAGGTTCAGAAATGCTTATTTTTTGTCCATTTCGGTAACTTCATGTGTGCTTTATTCATACGTCACACAACATTTCCTTATGTGGTAAAATTAAGATGTTTATGAGCACATCATTATCTCTGATGTTTCATAAGATAGTATAAAAATAATTCTATAAGAAAACCATCTACTCAGGTTTCAAGGTTTAGAATTAAAATGTTTATACAAACATTGTCATTAATGAACACAGAATTTATTTGATGTTTGATAAGAAAGTATAATAACATTTTATAAAGACATTAGCTTATAATATTCTGATTTCATTAAATTAAATACAAATGCTTATAAGAACTTCGTTAGATGAGAATATCAATTGTTTGATGCTTAATAAGAAAATATGCAAAAGTTTAATAACATTAGGTTGTACTAAGCAGGTTTTATAGTATAAAATAGGGATGTTTACAAGAACATTGTTAGTTGTAAATGTTATTTGTTTGAGTTATAAGAAAGTCTAAAAATGTTTAAGAACATTAGCTTACATTATGCATGAAATTTTTTGCTGATATAACATCACACAGCAAATAATTAAATGTCTTTTGTTCCATCACAACTTGGTTACCAGTTGAAAGAAAAAAGGTTTTTGGGTCTATGGTGTTTATAGCTCTGAGATTTATATTTTGCACAGTCAAATGTGACAATTTGAAGCTGCCATTTACATGCAAGTGGCTGTCATTTAACATCATATAATCTGAAACCAAATGAATGTAAATAAATGAAACATGAATGAAATACATAAAATGTGTTATCAATATAATTAATAAAAAATTAGTTTCATTTCAATGTAAATTTTTTAAGAAAAAATCACCTTACAAATGAAAAATATTTATTTATAAGACCTTAAAACAAAAATCGAACTTCATTTAAAAGTTTGAAAAAAAAAATCACTTAACTAGTAACCTTTAGAACATTGTATCAATATATCTGCAAAAAAATATTAAAAAAATTTTTTAAACTTTTAATGGCAAGATTAAAATAAAATTTCAGCAATAAATACAAAGAACTAATATAGAAAGAAGAAAAAACATAGTGAACTAGAGAAGAAGCTGCAGCAATAGTCTACAATTCCTAAAAGCTCTTGGAATCGGTTCACAAGAGAACATAAGTATAAAACTTGGTAAAGAATAAGATGGTCATCATTCATGATTCATCCCAGATAACAGAGACTGCAGATAAGACATGAAAATAAGTGGAAACAGTAAGTGCTTTGGGAGACAGTCACGGCATGTAACTCAGCCACCATTTTACATCTGAGCTATTTTGAGACTATAGATAAATTGTATATCCAAGACTTTTGAACTGTTCTAAGAGGGAAGTTCCATTAAACTCCTAAGGCATAATATTTTCAATTGTTTTATTTTTCTGAGATATACTGGAAGGAGATGCTTGTAGAGTCAAGGCACTCTTTTTGGACAGTGAATTAGCAATCTCATTGCCATAGATTTCACAATGCCCAAAGATCCATTGTAAAACAATATACTTTTTGCTAACAAATAAGATTTGTAACAGTCTCCAACATTCAAGGATAAAGAACTCGAGGTTAACATCAGAGACTGTTTTGCAGCCCGTGAGTCATTAAGTATGACAGCTTTGTATAATTTATTTATTTGGCAGAAAGAGCAATCTTGATAGCCAGCAATTCCCCATCAAATGTAGTTACAAACACACCAGCTGGGTTTGCACATGAAAAAAGGGTACAGTGCACCTGTTTCAATGTTGGGTTTCTTTAGCAACCAGGGACCATCAGTGTAAACTCTCAGTCAATCTGGCTGTAGATAAAAAGGGTTTATGGCCTTGAAAGTGAGAGCTTTTAGGACATCTGAATCTGCGACCTTCTTAAAGACATTCTGGGGAAAGTCAAGACACTCTCTAAAATCTTGAGTCTCAGTAGGGCAAGAAGGCAAAAATTCTGTTTCACACAGCAACTCGAGGTCCCTCTTCAGTTGTAGGATAAGTCTATTATGGTCGCAATTAAATAAAACAAAGAGCTCAACTGATTTCTTGTCAGTGTGGTCTTGTGTAGATAGGACAAACTAAATATATTTTTATATTTCGACTAAAATAACATTCCAGATTTGTTCAAAATCAGGATATTAAACACTATTTCATCACCCTACATAGTTGGAATTCTAATCAAAGGATTGATTTTTTTTTCCTGCTAAAATTAGTCATCACTGCTCTTGATCTAAGAATCATTTCATTCTAATGATGTTTCTAGTATCCCACCTTTTCTCAATGCTTGGAAATCTATTTAAATTATATCTATTGTGCCCTGGGATTTCACTAAGCCCCATCATACCAGTTCATTTTCATTTTTTTCATTACCTTGTTCAAAATTGTTTCTCTGCCCCTATGGGTTAAATCCTTTTGCATGTGTTTATTTCTTTTTTACTGCCATTTGGTGTTTAGACACTGATAAAGGTTTTCAATTAGAGAACTGAAACTATAATAAGTCCATTTCTATACTTTATTTGTTCTTTATTCACGCTTTTTGCTTTAGTTACTGTAGCACAAAGTATACAATATCCTCTTTTTGAATACTCAAGTCTTAAAAAATTTAGATACTAACTTTTGAAAATAATGTGATTTAATACATATAATTGTCAATAACGTTTAACTTTTTAAAAAAGAAAATGTCTTAATTGAATAAATTTAGAAACTCTTCAATAAGTAATATTAATATAAGTGTAATGTGTAAATTACAAAACCATAAAAAAAAATCACAACAAATACTTTGATTAAGATTTGAGGAATACTTAGAAATAAAACAAGCAATAAAAGAAAGATTTTCGCAATTTAAATAGATAATAAATGAGAATTATAAAATATTACTAACCAGAAATCGGAACACTATTCAAAGTATGAGTATTCACTGTTGTAAATAAACCACTGGAAATAAGCACTTCAGACAAAAACACATGGGAACCAGTTATCTTAATAGTAGAATTTAAATCAACAGTATTTACTCCATTCAAGTTAGCATGTGATTCCAAATTTGAAATATTTATTTGCATTCCTCTAACAGTATTAGAAAAATGAATATTACCTAGAAACAAATAAATTTCATCAATGAGAATACTTGATTGCCACACAGAAAAAGAAAAATCCAAACTAAAAAAATATCAAAAAATCATATCAAACACACTATGAATAACATCAAAAGTCTCATCTAGAAAGATTAATTTAAGTTTCCACAAAACTAGAGACTAGATTAAATTGAATGTAGAGTTTAATGGTAGAAGAGACATATGTGATAGAGATGAGTTGGGGTTCAATTTCGGAGCAAACTCTGAGCTTGAAGAATTTTAATCCATCCAAACCCACCCAAACCTGAGATACATGGGATTACTTAGAGCCAGAATCTGCCCGAAATATAAATTAGATAAAGGCCAAATATAACAATAAAAACTAAACAACAAATGAAAATAAAACTATTAGAGCACTTTGAAGTCAAGAAATTAATTTTTAACTAGAAATAAACCTTCTGAGAAGCAAATATTAACAAACTTAAGTGACTAACTCAATTTACTTTTGAATGAAAATTTTCTAATGAACAAACACTAAATTTATCTTTTGACCACATAATATACTTACAATAATTAAATATATATTTTAAAGCATATCAGGAAAAAGAAAATGTTATTTTTTACTTGCAATGATAATTGTTCATAGTATAAAAACAACTGTCTGCTACCAACATTTTAATTTGTATTTCTCACATTGTTTCTTAGCTATCAAAGGGCGTAGACTAGAACAATTATGTACTGTTACAATGAAGAATAAAAAAAAGCTAAAAACTATGAAATAGAAATATTTGTTTTGAGAATTAATGATCATTCAATTAATACAATTAATACTAAATTCAATATTTTAAGAATTATTATTGTTCAACCAATATAATATCACTTATGTTTTAAGGCTGTGTTTTCTGAAGTTAAAATAGGTTATACTTTTTACATGAAATAAATTTTTAAATACTGCAAATTCTGCACAATTTAAAAAATTTTTAAAACCAAATTTTAACCAAATATATGTCTTGATATGTTTCACATTACTTAAATAAAATAAAAATTTGGAAAGGAACAGTTTTTTTTTTTTTTTTTTTTCAGGTTCATTTTACAATTTTATACTCGCAAATTTTTAAAAAAAATTATATGCCATGACAATTTTTGGCTAATAAATATTGGTAAAATAAAGTCAAGCAAATAAGAAGTTAAGTATACAATGTAGGTAAAAAAAGTTTCATGACTAAGAACTTATTTTTAAGAACCTTTTTTTAACTATGAATATTGAAGAAATCAGACTCTTATTCTGTAGCATTGGAAGCAAACTATCATTTTTTTCCAATTTCTTACTATTTCAGTATATTAAATTTATAATTATCAGCAGAAATTTAAATTGTACCATTTTTAAGCATGATACTGTATTTAAATCAGAAGAAATTCGAAAATGTGAGAAAAATTTTATTTTGAAATGTATACCATGTATTGTTTGTGTCTTTCTCTTCATAACTACTTTTTCCAAAAGTGATTTTAATACTGACACTTTATCGGTTAAGTTCTTATAGAAGTCTATAGTCGGTAAAAGTTTAGGAATATCAGATTTATTTGAGAAAGATATTTCCTCTATATCAACTTTTGCTTTTGAAAATATTGATCCTGAAAGTAAAAGAAATATCTAAATTAATAAATTAATTCTCAAATTAAGTTCATAATACATTATAATGAATCAATTATAACTCATAACATAAAAATCAAACATAGATTTAGAAATAGAGCTAAGTTCTAATAAGTTATAATAAAAACAATTCCTTTTTTAGGGATAATAGAAACAAAATAATTCAATCATAAATATAAACACAAAAAGTAGAAAATTTTTAGTCCTTAAAAAGATATAAAAAACAATCAGCATCAATGGCAGAATAAAGAAAAATGCACTAATGACATCAATTTTTTGGAGTGGAATGCATACAAATTTCTTCTATTCAATAATTTTATGAAAATAAAATAAAAAGAGAAACAAGGTCGAATTGAAAATACTTTACTATGCAAAAAGTCAAAATTAAATTAAATATTCCAATGTTTTACTTTTTTTCATTGTTTAAATTTTCATTTGAAAACAAAGTATAAATGAATAGCTCTTTGCACCAATTATAATGTATTTCGCAAATAATTTGATCAGATTAGCAATGGACTCACAATTTATACATAGCTAGACTCAAATAAAATCTTAATTAAAAAAGTCAGAAATGCATTTGAAGTATAGTAGAAATATATGAATAATTTAATATGAAGTACTTAAAAAAATAGATATACTCTGTTGACTTACATGAAGCAGCAATGATAAATGCTAAGAGTAAATAAATTTAAAGCTAACCATTCTACAATAATTTTTGAAAATTACACAGGTTAATTCAAAGACTAAAGAAAAAAATCTTAAATTTTTTACATAGATAATATTTTTAATAAAAAATATATTTTATAAACAAGCAAACTCGCAAATAATGACAAATTTCAGTGACAAATAGCATAAGAAATACACCCAGCATTTTCATCTATTTAAATTTATCATAAATTAATTCCAAACTAAAACAATATAACATTATCTAAATTTCTTGAATACATCCTTTCTACATACTTAATTCAGTGTTTTTTCTAGTCATTTTTGCTTATAAGAAATGATGTATTTAAGATACATACTTTTTTAAATAAATTGTCAAAAAAATGCAGGCATAAACACTTAAAAATTATTCTTTATTATTGAGTCTTGTATTTTATCTATGGAACATACAAAATTCAATTTAAAATTAAACTAAAATAATTCCACAAGGTAACAAATTGTTGTATAAATGCAAAATCTTGCTGTAAAAAAAGAAAATATTAATTTTGACTACAATTATTATGATCATTTTACATTTTTTCTTATAACTTTTATTAATACATAAATAAATTATTAAACATACCTTTAACATTAACAGTAAGCAAACTAATGTAATCTGTTTTCATCCATGCAAAAGTCAAATTATCTTGAACTTCATTAAGCTTTTCATTCATGATCTGGATTCTCAACTCCATATTTGAAATGCATTTCTTTAAAATTGGAGCATTGATTAAGGATGCTACAAAGAATTAAAAATAATCTTTATTTTAATCATGATTTCCACTAATAAATAATTATACTCTGGATTACATTAGTTTCAAGCAAGAAAATAGTTTTAAAAAGCAGGCAAGTGATAAAAATATAAAAATGCACACACATACCAATTTTCAAGCTGTATATGTCAAAATCAATTGGGTAAATTAAAGGTTTCATATAATCTTGAAAAACAGGCAGCAAATAAAATTCTTGTTGTTTTCGACAAAGTTGAATACTTTTGATTGTTTTTGAAGCTGGAAGTTTAATCACGTCTAGTCGTGTCAGAGGAACTGACTTTGTCTGCATATAGAACTCTAAGATATTCTACACAAAGGAAAACAAAACTAAATGATAATATTTTAACGACATAATGTAATAAATTGAATTAAGTTCATGCATAATTAACATGTGTGGCAACAACAGAAAAAGAATTTCAAATAGCATAATAAATAAAGCAAAATAAGATGAAAAAATGTAATTTTCATTCAGCTCACGATTATAATTAATTACTATTTTAGAAATATATTTTATGTAATTTATTTTTATCAAAATTAAATGTTTGCAGAAACAATAAAGCAAAAAATAAATCAAATAAAAAAATTTAATTCACCATGTTAGTGAGTTAATATTGGCTTACATTTTCTTTCAAAGCTTGAGCACTTGACACAAAGCTTGAGCTTAAACATTAAAACTAGTACAGAATGCAGTGCGGTAAAACACTTTGGATCTATGATAGCTTAAGTGACATTATACATTACTTATAGTAGAATTCAATCCCCTCATAGTTGACCAACATGGTGGATGTGTGCAAAAGCGAGAAACCATGAGATTTTAACAGTGGGAAACAAAGACTTATATTAAAAAAAAAATAATTTAAATTGAGAAATTATTTCTGAGCTTAAGATCAAAACTTATTTAAATTGCAAGTTATCCAAATTATATTGATTTTTAGAAATTTGTACAATCAAACAATTTTCCAAATTTACACAATTTGTCCCCATAATACATAAGTTTTGATCGACATATGTCAGCGATTAATATTTTCTGTTACGAACATAGTAAAATCAAAAACATCATTTAAGATTAACTGATATGCATCCAAAACACCAGAAATTTTTTAACATCTTTGAGAACTAATCCCAATATAGAAGAAATATTGTGAGAAATAAAATGTAAATACCTACTAACTTTTTTAGCAACAGTTATGTATAAAGTATTATTAGGGTAAACTAAAACAGCTATATCAACTATATTTCCAGTATCTGAAGAAATATTTCTGTGCTCCACAAACTTCATACCTTAAAAATACAAAATTGTAATCTGAATTAAAAGATAGAAAAAAAGGATTTTATACAGAATCTAATTTATTTCCGAATACTTACCATTCCACCAATACTGAATAAAGTTGTTTTCATAGCCACAAACTACATAATGATCTTCTTCAGTTTTATAATACTTCATAATTATGCAATTTAACTCAAATATTTGAACAGTTATAACATTTCTTGAATTAGTTGCTAAGCAAAGAAAAGAGAAATATTTCAATTATAACCAAAGACTTGAAACAAATGTTTAAATATCATTTTGATAAAAAAAAATTAAAATATGGAGCAACAAATTTATAAGGTATAGTATAAAATACTAGTGCTTTTTATTTCTCAGAAAGAAAACTACAATTAATATAAAATTTAACTTTAACTATTTGTAGTAGGTCCGATAAAAAATTATGATAAAATAAAGTTAATTGCAAGTTCAATAACATTAAAAAGTTTGAAAAAATCTCAATTAAAATGTTCATTGTTTTGTATAATATAAATATTTCTTAGCTTGTGTTGAAAAAATGTCTTTTTTTCCTGAATCACAGCCACTACAAAATCATAAATGAAAAACAAGCCAAAAATCCTTTAATTTGCTGCTAAACAATTAAATGAGAAATATTTAATTTTAGTTATGAGAAATATTACTAAGTTTAAATATTTCTAAAAACTTAAAAATGCCTATAAATTTTTGATAAAAAGTTTTTAAAATGATGGAACGAAATAAGATATGATATAACAATATATCAATAGTTATTATAGTATAAAAATAACACTATATTCAGAGGTAAATATCTCATAGGTTGGTATTGCTGCTTATGGTATTGTTACTTATGGTATTAAAAGAAGTACAGGTATTATTGCTGTAGGTATTACAAGAAAGCTAAATAAAATGTTCAATGTTTTTAAGAAAATGTTTTTAATTTTGTGTTCAAAAAATTCCAAATAACCACAACAGTTAATACATTCATTTGTTACTACTGCGAGTTAGCAACAAATGAATATACAAACAAATAAATACTTACATAAAGTAAATTTTGGAATATCTGTTAAGCTTCTCACAGTGTAGCTAACAGCCACATTCAGATATTTCTCAGTCAGCCACGTAGATAAACTTTTAGGCTTCCCTTGTAACGGCGATGACCTAACATAATCAAACTGAGTTCCATTCCATTTAAATAATCTAGAATAAAAAATATTTCTTTATTTTGTTAATTTAAAATGAGATAAGGAATGATTTTAAAATATAACAATTAATATTGAAATAAATTGTAATATGATTAATAACTGATTTCCAGTGGATCCCATTCCCAGTGGATCCCGTCCCATGTGAACCTATTTGGTAACAAGAAGGCAGACTGTCTAGTAAAGGATGGTTGCAGCCTGCCAACTTCTGCATCTGATGAACTTACCTACCTAGAACTTTTTCTCAGATGAAAAACTTGAATGGGAGGATTTGGCCGGTGCCTCCCACTCATGATTGGTATAGGGCTAGTAAGCCAGGACGGTCGTTGATTCTTTCATGCGACAGAATAACAAATACTTGCCTTTCACGCCTTGCCAGTGGACATCTAAAATGTCTTACTTGTTCTCAGGGTATAAGATCCTACCCTCTTTGCCCAAAATGCCACCAACATCAGGCTTCAGCTGAACATATTTTAAGCTGCTTAGGACTTCTTCGAGAAGAAATTTACACTTCTCTTCTTGTTTCCGACTTTTTACTCATCAACGAATTTATGGATCTGGTCTGATGCCGTCAGACCTTTGGAGATTAGTAACAACAACGGTTAATAAAGGCATAATTATGATTAATATGACTAACAAAAGCATAATATGATTAATAAAAGCATAATATAAAAGCCTTCTACTAATTTAATCATTAATTGTATGTGAAAGAAGTCATAATAGAATATCCCTAGCATAATGATCATATGCAATAATTGTCATAAACAATATAAGAATACATAAAGCATTCCCGCAACAACCCATGTAACCCATTCATGGCCAGAGAGGTAATGGAGAGAGGAGTAAAAACTTCATAATTTTGTGACTAACTACATAGTTGAGGCTATGTGGCCAGTATTGCCGCAAGCTGCTTTTTCGTAACTGACACAGGCTGGTAACCGTCAAACTGAAACTGGATTGACTTCAAATCGCAATTGATTAATGAACCCCAGTCCTTTAAAATGACAGCTAAATAGCTTTAATCACTGAACCATTGTAGTTCCATAAACAATATAATAGCATTAAATTGTTAAGAAGAAACAAAATACCAATGTGTATTCTTATGTTGCAATACAATAAACATATATCAGGTTAAACATCAATATTTGTGCTTTTACATGTTGCATTATATTTTATTATGTTAGCTTTATACCCCTTTAAGAAGAAAAATAATTAGATCCCACTAATTTTGCTCTTTGACCCCTTTAAGAAGAAAAATAATTAAAAAATAGCTGCAAAAAGTTCAAATGCTTTAAGACTCTATCACCTAAAGTTTTCATACTCGGTTTGACTTTGAATAGAACATAATAAGCCAGAATATTCAGAAACATTGGAAATTATAATCTTAGTTTTTATAAATGCAACAGTTTTTGTTATTATAACATATTCAAGTTAGAAAACTTATGTGCGATAAATTAAATAACATACTAAAAAAATTATTCACATTTTATAATCGATTAATAAATATTAACACTGTGAAAGATTAATTCATAAATCTGAATGTTCTTTATTATTATATATACATAACACAAATCTCAAAACACTTGGTATTAGTTCCTAAAAGCTAACGCTTGAGAAACAGATACCAATAACAAAAAAGAGTATTAGTAAAACTATTTCAAAATTATATGGTTTATTTCTAGTGGGATCTAGTTGCTTTAAATGTAAAAGTGTCAAAAAAATAAAAACTATGTAATTGGGTATACAAAGAAACAAAAAGCTTCAATTTTTCTAACTAAACAGCTGATTCTAAAAAAATTAATAAATAAATAAAAAGTTAGCACTCTTTGAAACCAGAAATAACTTTCTGAAAAGTGAGCTGTAATGTAGGTTATTGCACACCAAATTAGAACAAAGCTTATTACATATCCAACTATAACCCCACTTTTAAACTAAACTTAATACACATTCAGGTAATAAGGCAAAAATATATGCTATTTTAAACCTAAATTCTTTAATTACACTTACTGTAACACAGGAGTTGAAACATCAGATGCAATAATGAGAAACAAAGAATTTTCAAACTGAGTTATGTCTATTAATGAAATTTGATGAATTAAAATTTTTTGTCTTGCTTCTAAGTTGGAAAAATCATACTGGTATAATTGAACATAACTTTTCTGGTCACTTTGATGAAAACCAATGAGCCATAAACTATTCCCATAGTTAAAACCCTAAAAAACAAAAATTACTTTCAATATAAAGTTTGTGCTTTAAAAGAAAAGTGTATATGCATGAAAAATATTAAACATCATTCAAAGATATATATTTTTCAATGATTCGTTCTTTCATTTTTAAACATTCTTACTAACTTATCCTCTGAGTCCACTTAAAAACTTAAAGACTCAAATTTCTCTTTTCACCAACTCCTGTCCCAGGCAATAGACCAACTAGATTCGTGAATCTTCTGTAAATTCTGAACCTTTTTTCCTGCAACAAACTTATAACCATACAAATAAGGCCAGAAAATTTTAAAAATATATTTTAGAATTTGCTTTCCTTTTTTTATCTATTTTTGTATTTCAGCCACATAAAAACATTACTTCTTTATCTGACAGTAACTATGCAGAACACTATATTTATACTCTTAAACATAATATAATAATGCATCATTCAAAGAAAATACTTAGAGTTGAATCACTTAACATAACAAATTAAAATATATATACATATATTGCATGTAATCTGAGTAATAAGTTTCAACAGATCATAATATAAATACAAAACTATAGGACACTAAGTCACACTTTTTCCAAGAACAGCATTATTAGAACAAATATTTTTAGTATTGTTTTCAGATAGATATTCTATAAGTTTCAGCTAAATAATGAAGTAATACCTAAAAACAACTTGTTGTTTACTTAGAAATCAAAGTATTCTCACAAAAAATTAACTTCTTTACATATTTAAACTGTGGCTTGTCAGTAGGGGAAGGTGGTGTACCTTGGACTTAGGTGTGCTTCATTATTAGTGATGTGGTAACATAGCATGTGTTGTTTGAGTACTTGCCCCCAGGACTTTCAGTGTATCCAACTTAGTTTTTGAAGAACTGTTGTATTAAAATTATATTAATTAAAGATCAGTTTCACCGATCAAGAGTCAGTTTTCATCATGCTTTCCTGGGTAATACTTTATAATCTATAAAGTCTGTTATGCTGTGAGTAAATAACATAAAATTTACTATTGTTTGAGTGATAATAGTACTGCTTATAGCGAGTTAGGTTTGAGCTCCATGTTATCAGAATTTTTTGAGTAGATGATCATGTGGTGTACCTTGAACCTACTGAAAGTTGTGTACTATGGATGAGTTCAAAGTTCACGATTACCTTACTAGAAATTAATTTATATATTTATATGGGAAACCACAAAGTAGAAAATAAAACAAAAAGGCAATCTTAAAATAAAGATCAAAAATTAATCAGAAAGTGTAGAAAAGTAAAATAAAGATCCTGTAATTCACGCAGCAAGATTAATTATCTTAATTTTATATTAGAGAGAATTAGCAAAATATTAATGAATGTTAAGATAAAAATATTTGTAAAAACATGAAAAGAGCTGGTGGGTTAACAGGATTTAGTTACCTAGCAAACTCACTTTAAATAATGCCCCTTATATGCTAATACAGCTAGAATTTATAGGTGATAGAGAAATATATAAGAGATATGATGATTCTATTCCATATTTAAGATGCCAAAAAAGGAGTTAAAAGTTAAATATCTCAAAAGGGATCCTAATTCTCAAAAATTCAGAAGGCAGGATCCTGCAACTTATGTGGTTGCTAAGTATGTACTTGATCCCAAAACTGATCCAGAGGCAGCAGATATGTCATTTTTGTTGAATGAGGGATAAAATTGATTTTCAAGTGGGTGCAAGGTTCACCATCTCAAGGACCAAGGTACACTTACCAGTGGTGTACCTTGATCCTATTTCTCCTTTTTGCTATAACATAACATTTTTATAATGTAATTTTAAAATTTGCTCTCTACGTTACTCCTATCGATTACAAACCAAAATAACATAAAATAGAAAAATAAAAGTGAAACACTTGCAAAATAAAATCACCTTAAGATCATATAGTGGTTCCTCTCTTGGAAATTGCAATAATGGAATGAGACTGGAATTGTCATACAGCCAGATGTAACCATCTTTTGTACCAGCAAATAGGTAATCAAAGCCATCGATTTCCAGAAAAAACCACACAGCAACAGCTGGAGATGTTAATAAAGAACCCTTGTTGTGATAAACATCAGAGTCTACAAAAGAAATTTTATTTTAAAGAAAAACAATACATTTGATACAATATAATTTTTTTAGTCAGTAAATAAAAACTATAAATACAAATTACAAAGTATACATGTTACTTATAGGTTAGGTGCAAGTGAAAAATCGCCAAAAAACATAGACATTTATCAATTTTTTTAAAACATTTTTTAAAAATTAAGTAAAATAAAAAAGTTAGATAAAATTTTATAAAATTGTTAAATTTCCTTGAGCTTGGAACACCAATCTTAAAAATGTATTCACTCAAAATAATCCAGCTATAACACATTATTTATTAAAATATATTCTTCGAATTAAACTTAAACACAAAAATTATTATTAGAACTATTAATGTACCAGAAAAATTTATATTCCATAAACTAGTTTAGAATGCTTCTACTTTTCTCTTTTAAGCCAAAATTCAAAAACTTAAATCTAATTAAGACAACATTAGACAACAATTTTTTTTAAATATCAAACAACAACAACAATTACAGCAATTTTTTTTAAATTTCATACAAAAAAAAATTACGCCCGCACTCTTAGACTATACATTTTTTTTTCAATAAAAAAAATTGAAGAAAATTCAAAGATATTAAAGATAGTATTTAAAGGAAGAAAAAAAAACTTTTGAAAAAAATAAGTTCAAGAAATCATAAGAGAGTTTTTTTTTCTGAAATAGCATAAAAAAAAAACATTTTTAATCAAAGTAAATTAAAGCTAACGAAATTCGTTCGTAAAAATTTACATATTATGAATGAATATGCAACTACAAGCACAACTACGTATTTGCTGATACATTTCGAATTCTATGAGAAGTAAATTTTTATTTATGTATTTTCAGTTCATTATTTATTTATTAATAAACTCATGAAGTGGAGATTAGCATGTCATGAAATCATTAATAGGACCCGTTGCTTATTAAATATAAACTTGTTCACATTTCGATTATAAAAAGAAAATAATAAAAGTAATATGATAATTCCAAGCACTTCAGTCTATCTTTACATTTACCCGTGAATTCTCCCGAATAGAAAAAAAAAAGTTAATCAAATCATGGTATCAACAAATTAATATAAGGAATAAAATCATTATCAGTACCAAAGGAAGCACAGGGATAAATGTTTACATCAAAAGGAAATGGAAATCAAAACAAGTAACCAAAAAGTTATTGCGCAGTATAGCGCAAAGTTCAATCGGATTTTCAATTTCATGTACGTAAATTACATATTTGATCTTATTTGTAACTTTTAACAGTTCATTCTATTTATTGTGAATAGAATGTTGAACATTACGGAAGCCGTCATCGCAGTTCTAATTGGTTAAAATAGTTCACGAGGTAGTAAATCAATTAAGCAATCATAAGCGTAGACAACAATTTCTTGTCATTCTTGCCAATGCCACATATAATGATGTTTTGTTATGTTAATGTTTTTTTCCTAAGAATAAATAATCGACACAATATATGTTCTTTTCTATATTAATTCACTTAACTTTTCTTTACTACTTTCTCTTTCTCACACCATGGTGGTAAAATTCGTTAGGGGTCCAGAGGGTTTGCGTTTTTTGAAAGAAATTTTTTTTTTAAAACCTGTCTCATTTTGGAAAATTCGACACCAAATATAAGATAATACTAAAAAAACTTCCAACATTAAAACAAAAATACAGAAAACAGCGTCGCGTTTTCGAAATTGGAATTGTCTGCAAACTCATGTTTAAAATTCAAAAGATTTTTCTTCAAGTCTTATTCAATTTCTTAAATACAATTTTTTATCCCTCCCTCAAGATACTAACTCAATTACTTTTAAACCTGTTAAAACTAAATTTGAATATTGGTAAATATTTTGACAAAATAATTTTTCGTATTAAAATTCAAAAAATTACGTTTTATTTTTAAAAAATATTTTATAATTATTTTGAACTAGTATAGTTTTAAAAAGAGCATATTTGACTACCTATTAAAAGTTATTTCAAATCATTAACATGATTTTTCTGACTTTTATCACGCGCGCCGTACATGAGAGGATCTCTTTTCTCGTCAAATTTTAACTGTAAAAAATTAAATTATAACAGTTCTTTGCAATATTTCACTAAAATGATTACATTTAAATAATGTCTGTATCTGTACTTATGTTAAACTTCTGTAATAAATTAATTCAGATTCACAAGTTAAATTTTAGATAAGATTTAAGATTAGATGTTAAAAAAGTTATATACAATAATTGCCTTCTTGATGAAATAATCAAAACTTGATAAAATAATGATATACTAGACCCCTTAAAAAAGCATATTTTGGACGAAGAATATACGCAAAGCTTATCTAAGCTCATTTTTTTAATGAGAGTTCAAATTTTAAAGTTGCAATCTTTTTTTTATTGCNAAATACTGCTACCCAAAATAATATTTCTCAAACTCCTTTTGTCACTATAACACCTACTATATATTTTCAAAAGTATTACTAAGGAAATTATTCTTTTTAAGGTGATAAAAAATTATCTCATTCTCTCAAATGCAAATAGGAGGGAAGAAATATTTGCTTCGTTCTATATTCTAGGGCAGAGGTAAAAACCCTATTCTAGGGTTGGATTCTAATGATAAAATAGAGCTGAATTTTATGTAAAAATTGACGATGGTGGGAAAGAGGATTTATTTAAAAAAGATAAATTCTCCGAAAGGCCACTACAGCCCTATTATAAATAAAATAATTTTTGGTAACAAAATATTAAATGAAATGTTTAAAAAGAAATTGTGAATAAAAAATAATAATTTATCAATACATAATTCCTAAATAAAAATGTATGTTTAGTATAAAGTGTGCAAAGAAGCTTTGCCATGTTATTTAAAAATAAATCCTGCTCACACCACGGGAACTTAAATAACGGGATCATCAAATTTTGTTTCTTAAAAGCTACAATAAGTCAGAAAGAGAAAAAGGATCAAATGTTTAGTGATTATCAATTTCTTCTTCTTCTTGGGCACAACAGCCTATGACAGGCCAAGGCCGTCTTGATCAATTCCGTGCCATGACCTTCCAGTTTGTTAAAAAAATCAACTATCTTACTTACATTTAAAAAAAATAAAAAAAATGCTGTCTCAACAGCTGAGCTTTAAAATACCTTTCCTTCTTATTAGGCGGTTTTGCTTGAAAGAAAATTTAGTTATCCAAATTAAAAATCAGTTTTTCTTATTATAATTTACAATTCTCCTTTCCACAACATGCTTAGGAACGCTATCTAAAATAGTTTTAAAAACTTTATTTTTTTTAAATTTATTTATTTGTTTTATTTAGTTATAAACATGTCATTAAAACTACTTCAGTGCCTCTAATGGGTCATAGACTTAAAAAATAATAATAAATTATTATTATTTGAATCAAAAAGCGATGAAAATTTTCTGGCGATAATCATTTCGTCTTAAAATCGATTCATAAAATTATGGCCTAAAATTCATGGCCTCGCAGGTATTTTTTTACTATTAATTTCCTAAAACAGCATTTTTTTGAAAAAAGTTATCTTGAGTTTAAGTGATTAATAAAAAGTACGCATGCTGAGTGGGGAAAAAAAGAAACAGAAATTAAATATTTCACTTGAAGGAAAAATCAACAAAATAATTTGGCGTTTTTCAAAACATTAGGAAACAATGTACTAATAATTTAAATTCAGGGGTCCCCAACCCTATGCCCGCGGGCACCATGGCGCCCGTCGATCGGTCTAGGTGCGCCCGCTGCTTGTGCCCAACGATAAAATATTTCAGTTTTCCATTTCCCCATAAAATGCTATGCAAATACATACATAAGTACGCTAGCTCAGTAAAGGTAAAGTTCTTGATAGATTTCTAGATTTATCTGAAGAAATAAAAAATTATCTTGCATCCAAAAATCAAAAATTTTTAGATCTAAGAGATCCTCTTTGGCTAACAGATTTGTCTTTCATAACGGACCTAACGGAAAAATTAAATAATTAAAACTTGGAGCTGCAGGGAATAGACAAACATATAGCAAGAATGATAGGGGCTATAAACTCGTTCAGAGCTAAGCTAGTTTTGTGGATATCACATTTGAAAATGAAGTCTCTTGTGCATTTTCCATACATGATCAATTTGAAAAGCGCTTTCAACAGTTTAATATCATCAAGATATTTGATCATATATTTTGTAAATCCTTTTACCAACCAAATAAACGTAACCGTAATAGCAATACACATTTCAGAATTTCTTCAAGTAAGGCGAGAAGTGGAGATAGAAATTTTGGATCTTCAGAATGACATTATCCTCAAAACTATTATATCAGATGAGAAATTCTGGAATATAGTTGTCAGAAATGAATTTCATTCTTAAAAAGAGCAGCATATAAAATAAAGTCGCTTTTTGGTTCCACATACTTGTGTGAATCACTGCTTTCGACAATAAATATCATAAAATCAAAATATAGATCCCGACTTACAGATGAACACCTTGACGATTGCTTGCGAGCAGGAATTTCACCATATTCTCCCAATTATGAAGAGCTGGCCAGTGAAATGCAATGCTAAAGACCACATTGACTGTATTTTATATACTTTATAAATAATTTTTATGCTTCGTATGGTTTGAAAAAGCAATTTAGTAATCATTTATTTTACACAAGAATATTAATACTAATTAAATTCCTAAGTTAAATTAATTTTTAAAATAAAATTTTTTGAGCATTATATGTAGTGTGTATTATTACCTACGTCTATCAACTATAAATTTATCTTAAAAAAATTAATGGTGCCCGCCATTCGACCGATATTCTGGTATTTGCTCTTAGGTACAAAAAGGTTGGGAACCCCTGATTTAAAACAGAAATATGAAAAAATATGCATATTTAAGAATTCTGAATTCAAACTAAAGCTTTCTAAAAGCTGTCAATTTTTAATCATCCAAAGGCGCCAAAATTCAATACATCAAATGAATAAAAATCTGTATTTACAAAAAATATATTTTTTTTATTAAATTTTAATGTCAGCTCCCGAAGGAAAAAAGTTAATTACGCATTTGTAAGTCATTTTTATTAGTATCAATTAGATTCGAAGATCTTATTTTTAAGATAGCAAATATTCCATGTTGATGTTGGTATTGTGGAGGGAGGAGTTATCGACGTTGCCAAACTTCATCTATCAAAAAGTACCACTAGTTGCTGTGCTTGTGAAGGACCGCGAGAGCTGGATTAGGGTCACCGAGTTTTTAAGTGCTGAATGTGAGAGGTGTATTAACTTCACGGTCGTAGTCGCTCCTGTGTTGCCTTTAGCAGCCGAGTGTGTGCAGGCTGGCGTTGTGTATGATCGAGACGAGACTGAGCAGCAACAGCGTGAGGAGGTGGATAATGTCGCAGTCACAAGTAGCAAGTCAACTGTTCAATGTGGACCATCCATCGAAGTAGGCGTTACCAGATCGAAGTGGGCTTTACTGTCGAGATAGGCGTGATCATATCACGTCCGGGTCACCAATGTGGGGGGAGGAGCTATCGACGATGCCAACCTTCATCTATCAAAAGGTACCTCGTGATTGAATCAAGTTAGCATGTCTTATACCAGTGAATTGATGTTTAATAATCGCAGTGGTAGTTACAACACAATATCTATTTTTTTGGTCGGCTAGACGATAGTGGTTTAATTATCTTATTTTATATTATCATCATTAAGTTCACTTTAAACCCTAAAAAATTTATGAAAATAAAATTTTTTAGACAATTTTAAATTCTAAAACTTACTTTCATATTGTTTTTTAACCTCTCTTACTGGCCGGATTTGTGAGTTTTCCATTATTTTCTGTACTTTTAAGGAGAAATCTCTGTTTTTACTATCCATGTATTTGTTTGTACGTTGGTTAAATATGGCCTCTGATGTAACTCTTAAAACAATCATCATGAGCAATCCTAGAGAGAAGTAAATCTAAAAATAAAAGAAAAACATTTTTATTCTATGGCTTGACAGTGATTATGCCACTTTTTTGTGAAAAAAGACGTTTTAGGAAATAGGAAAACTTAATTAGCAAAATCTTTAAATAATGAACTTCTTTTAAATGTAACTGTGAAATAACACCTATTAAAATTTATTGTACAGAGCGAAGAGTAAAAATGAAACGTCGTTATAGCTTTTGATTTAATGATCGGATCTTAAGCAACCTAGAAGCATTTTTAGAACTGGGGTTTCGATCCTCAGACGTGGCTTGAAACTCACCCAGCTACAGATAAATGGGTTACCAGCTATTTTGAGAATTAAAAGTGGCCGGTGCACAATGCTTGCTACATAACCACAATCATATTGTTGATCACGAAATTTCGGAGCTATAACATCCACCATCCATTATATCCCCCATAATAGGCTGTAGCGGAAATGCTTTTTTTTTGTGCAATCATAATTAGTGATTAATTTTAAATATACCTATTGATTTGCCCAGAAAATATTTTATGTTAAGAAATTAGACGCAAAAACGTACTTGCTGTGAATAAGCATACGTATTTGGAAACTATTACTGCCACAATATTTCCAAGTATCTAAATATACAAATATATAGTCAAGAGAAAGGTCGAAAGCTTGATCTTCTAAATGTTAATTTTACTTTTTGCATGTTTCATTGTATATTTGGATTATTTTAGCGAATAAAAAAAAATTTCTCCGAATTATATAATTTTGAGATGACAAAATCTAAAATTTAAGTAAAATCAGTCGAATGATTCCCAAGAATATTAAATTATTTAACCGATTCTGTTCAAAATAATTGTATTTTTTCATCCAAAATAGCATAAATTTCATTTAGGTAGGAAATTTCATTCCTTAAAATCCAATTTTCCTTTTCGATCACTATTTAAAATAAAATAAGAAAAATAGCAATTATTTTGAAAGAGGATATATATTTAACATGGAAATATCGCTGAAAAGAGTTATTATTCTGTGCAAAAGAAAAAACAATTTCTGAAATAGTTCTTATAATTCCGTAGTTATGCTAAAAACGAAAGAAGTAAAATTAATAAGAATGAGACAAAAGTATTGTCACCATATTTTTCAAATTACAGAAACCACCTCCTTTTTTAAGGTTTCGAATTAAGGTTGAGTTAAAGAAGTTGTATTTTTAAAATTCATTTCTCACGAACCATTCAACCAATTTCGTTCCAACTATTTATTTTGATGTATAAAATTACATTCCTTAAAATGATGCAAAAATTTATATACCTTATAATTCAAATTTTTTTTGACTATTATTAAATAAAATAATAATAACTAAAACTATTATTATTATTGCATGAAAATATCTTTGGATAAACAAATTTTATAATTGTGGGCAAAAAAAATTTAGACTAGCTTAAGAAATTTTCGAGATTTGGTGAAATACGTAAAAAGCAAAATTAGCATTGAGAGGTCCAAACTTTGAACCGCCCTCTTGACTAAACTATTGGGACTATATTTCCTACATTGCGTCGATCTCCTACATTTTGAGAGTTAGAAATCCATAAAAAAAAAAGTTATGTTTATTCAGAGAAAGTCCATTTTTGTGTCTGATTTCGTAACTTAAAATATCGTCTGCAGTGATTAATTAGCATATTTGAAGTCACCACCTTGAACCTTATGATTGAGTCCTAATTTGCGAAGATCCAATCGTTAGATCAAAAGTTATTAAGGGTGATTTGTTTTTTTAACACTTTTGGAACAAAAATTGCAGTCATTCCCCATATTTTGATATTAAAAAAAAAATCACATTCCGTTGAAAAAAAGGTTGTAATTTTTCATGGTGATTATCTTAACTGGTCTAGCCAAAAGGCTTGACCATCTCCATTCAAAACAAAAATCCAAAACAAATCCATCTCAGAAAATCTAAAAAAGGAAGAAATCTTGAAAAAAAAGACACATTCATTTAGAGAAATTGCGTTTTTGTATCTGTTTCCCTAACTCAACAGTCAACACTAATAATTAGTTAGCATATTTGAGGTTACAATTTTGAACCATTAAGATTGGTCCTAATAATTAGAAAAAAATCAGATCAAAAGTTATTGCGATTATTGATTGCGGTGATGCATGATTGCGATAATTTGTTTGTTTCGAACAACCAAAGTTGTTTTGAAACTACAAGAAAATAAAATGAAATATTCATTTGGACGATTTTTTAAAAGGAGCACTACTTGTTCATAAAAATATTAATAACTACATCTAATATCTATACACAATTCTTAATGTCTATACACATCAAAAAGAAATCGTTAATAGCAAGATTTATAAATATCCGTATCTTATTTTTTCCCCAATTCTATAAATTAACGAAAGAAAAATTTTTTTATAGATACCCTTGTTATTAGTTGGAATTATGTTACAGTATTTAGCATGAAGATTTGTAATTGCCTTTTTAAAAGTAGGTTATTTATTGTTACTATACTTTCATTTGCAATTTAATAATTGATAGAGAAATCCAGAATTGACTGAAAATTAATTAGAAACTTTAGAACCACAAATTTCGGACAATAAACTTTAAAATCAGTAGCGAAATTTTTTCTTTCTATTTTGAATGGCTTTAATAAATAAAAATTAATGGTACCATATTTTGATTTCATTTAACAATAAAAGATAAGAATCTTTTTTGCACGAAGAAATTTTTCATAAAATTCTAAATATTTTGTTATATTATAAAAACTAAGGCTTTTTATGATCAAAATTGAACTTACTTTTCTGTACTGTTCATTAATGATTTTCATATTTCAAATTCCCGAATTATGAGCAATGTTTTTTCGCAAAATGCCTTTGTAATCTTAACAGAGTTGTAAAAAATTCTTTGCTTTATGAAAAAGTAGATATTTCCAAATCCTATTGTCAATAATTTGATGACGTACTTAAATTTTCGAAGATGTTTTGTTGATCTTCCAATGACAATTTGACCATGGGTGTTTTAGCAGAAATGGTAGGAAAATTAAGTACGAAGTTACAAATCACCAAAAGTTTGTTAAGAAGTGGAAAAATTCATAAGATTATATGAGAACGAATTAAACTGAAAAATTTGAAAAGATTTTTACGAACCACTAACAGGGAGAAACCGCATTCAGGGAGAAATATTTTTTTCACTGTGTTATATTCAGTGGGTTCGTCAAGAGGTGGAAAGTCTGTACATTCGTAAAAGAACAAATAGAACTGAAAAGTCGGAAAAGTTTTGTACTAACCCATTATATCACTTTTGCAAAACACACAATCTTTCCTGTGGGTGCATTTTTATGTTATTTGGACACATTTCTGGCTGCTTATTACTGTTAAACTTATTATCGTTTTACACTGCCGTTACAATAGATAATTTTGATTCCGATCAAATGAAGTGGCCAAACGATCGCGTATGAGTTAATAACTCTTCTCATGCTTTCAAAGTTTCCAAATCACATCAAAAGTAAACCATTCAACTTACATGAGTCCCGCAGTGGACTGATCGTTAAGACACGGTTCCCAACAGATTACCGAAGTCAAGCATCACTGGCTGCGGTCAGTGTGCGGGTGGGTGACCACTTGGATCAACCTGCGTGGGGGCCGAGGGTGTGCGGTATTGGTCCTCGTTAAACTGTTCTACCGTAAAGTGCCCGACTTCGCGTGCAGGTCGTTGGGCTACCGAAGCGGGGGTGTCATCCCCTCTGCAGAGGATCAAAATTGTGATGGCATGTCTTCGGATCATCCTCAGGGATGTTTCCCAGACCATCGCCAATAGCCCATTGTGCAGATCTAGTGCGATGTAAATAACCTACAACAACAACAACTTACATGAATTATTACATACAGCACTGACAATTATTGCATCAAATTTTTCCTTTTTTTTCTTTTTACATATATGAATCGTATATTTGATCATGCCCATAATCAAGGATCAATTTTATAAGCTTCAGTGGGCCCGAGATGGCGTTGCTGGTAAGACGTTGGGCCAATTTCCGAGAGGTCGTGAGTTTGATCTCCGCCATGTGCAAAATGGTGACTGGTGCCCGTTAAATCTGTCGAAGTCACAAGGCCTTTAAAGTTTCCAAAACAAATCAATACCTCTGGGGGAAGATTGATCGTGCTCTGGATCAGGTTAAAATTATGATCTGTGGATGTATGGGTGGTGTGCGAATGTGTCCTTTCTGTAAAACGGGATGCAACGTATGTATGTTGTCTCCGGATAATCCTCAGAGAGGTATCCCAGACCGTCGCTAATAGCTCATTGTGCAACGCTGGTGTGACATAAATAAAAGAAAGAAAGGAAGAAAATTGAACTTATGCTACTGCATTCACATTCATATTTCTTAGTTTGCTTACATCACTATATATAGTTTGTATAAGTTCCTGTATGTTCTTTTGTTAGCGCTAAAGTTCTTTAGTAACTTCGAGGCCCAAACAATTTATCTTCTGCGTGAGTCCCAGTCTAAAATTTTAGTCACTTGTCAAGTCTTAAACGATGGACTGTGGTAGCCCAGGGGTTAGAGAATCGGACTCCAATCCGGAGGACCGGGGTTCAATCCTCGACTGCTTTAAGACCCACAGAGTACATGCGATGTACGTGCTCGTAAAATCTGTAGAATAGAAAGTCCTATTGTCGGTCGCTGAGCAGTACCATGGGACCAGGGATCTAGAGAAAATTTCCTTCCTCTTCAGATCTATGTCTAAATTGAAGAAGTGACCATACAAATTATGAAAGCATGTCTTTGGATCATCCTGAGGTAAGTTGCACAAACCTTCCCAAATAGCCCGTTGCTCAGTTTCAGTGCGAAGTAAATAAAATACCTACCTACCTACCTTCTAGTCTGCAACAACAGAAATAACAACTAAACGAGCGGTGTCAATCCCACTGATCCGATCCGTTAAACGCTCCGTATAGTGCTCGAACCATACCGTAACCCTGAATATGTCATTGCAATATCCTTCTCGAATTTGTGTTACAGCTTTTTTTTTGAAAATGTCAAGGCCCTATAAGTCATCTTTGTAATGAGTAAATAAACAAACAAAATAAGGAATAATAAGTAAATAAGCAAGCAGATCATCCTAAAATCAAAGACCCCTGGTTAAGCCAGTATAGCTGAGAGAGCAAAACTTCGACTATGACATAGAGCTTCGTAAGTTCATCAGAAGAACTTCTATTCTTAATAAAACAATCAGTGCACATAGAAAAAACAATTGCTGAAAATCATTTCTAAGGCATCAAGGTACATTGATTTAATGTAACGTCTGATAACACCGTGAAAAGCAACAACAGCAACAACATTGATGCAAGACAAACTTCATATAGTAACACATCCCCGGACAGATACAGAAATATCACAGGTTCACATCCTGAAGTCATTGAAGGAGATTGGCATTTGCAAAATATTAAACAGTGTCTAATTTAAAAACTAGAGATTAAATTCGTTATACGATTAAAATGAGCGAGCAACAGCAGTTCTCCAATTCGGAGAAGTTGAGAGACCTGGATTGATGTAAAGGAAATCACAATTTCTTGTCTCATGGTCACTACAAAATCTATATGCTTCAACTAAACCTACTAGAATTTTGATTTAAAAAATTACAAACGGAAATTGAAACCAAATATCGTAAGCGACATTAACCTGTGATCTTCTCAAATTCTACAAATAGTTTTAAAGACCATAGAATATCGTTCTTCAGTCTGTCGATCTGAAACTTATGAAATAGTAGGTTCGATTTCCGTCATAATCCTATTTTCATTTCTTCTACATGTGACCTATAGCGTCATTTATAAAAATTGAAAAAACAGTCTTCAATTTTTCAAACACTTTTAAGCCGTTTAAGTACAAATAACTGGTAGCTTTTTTTAAAAAATTTTACTGATTCAAGAATTGAATCGATGAGTACGAAAACCAGTCATTGTCAATTTTTTGCAAAATTCATGCATTTTTAAATTTTGCTGACGTAGATGCACAGTTAAGGTATAAGAAATTCGTGTCTACTTACTTGGTATAAAATATTTTGCACGGTGATTGTTTTTGTTGTTGTAGTTCATTTACGTCGCCCTAGAGCTGCCCAATGGGCTATTGGCGACGGTCTGGGAAGCATCCCTGTGGATGATCNAGTGCGACGTAAATTAACAACAACAACAACAATAATAAATATTGAAAAAAATCTTCAATTTTTCAAACGCTTTTAAGCCGCTTAAGCACAAATAACTGGTAGCTTTTTTTTTAAATTTTTACTGATTAAATTGATGAGTACGAAAACCAGTCATTGTCAATTTTTTGCAAAATTGAAATTCATCCATTTTTAAATTTCGCTGACGTAGATGCACAGTTAAGGTATAAGAAATTCGTGTCTACTTACTTGGTATAAAATATTTTGTACGGTGAAATCTCAATTTAGCTCAAACACCTGTTATATCCTAGAGATAACCTGATCTCAGAATAAATTTGGAAATATACCGCCGAATGGCAGAGTTGCCTACGAAATTGTACGCATAACCTAAAAATTAATTACTTAGCTTAGGCTTGTTATTTATTTATTTTTAAAATATTTTTCACCACACAATGAGTGATTCAGAGGGTGATTCTTTAGGTGATAAATGAAACGAAAGAAAGAGGGTTAGAAGTAAGTATGAGACCCATAAAACAAAAATTGCAAAAATCAAGGTATGGAATTCAAGGGACTTCGAAATTAAGTTGGATTCGGAATTCATAAAAAAAAAAAAAAGAAGGGAAAATACATTCTTAAGAGATGTACAGGTAAAAATCGCAAAGAATAGCAGTCCCGCAGGGGACTGATCGCTAAGACGCGGTTCCCAGCTGATCACCGAAGTCAAGGACGAATGGTGTTGTGCATCACTGACTGCTGTCGGAGTGCTGGTGGGTGACCACTTGGATTAGTCTGCTTAGGGACCGAGGGTGTGCGGTATTTGTCCTCGTTAAACTGTGCTACCGTAAAGTGCTCGACTTCGCGTACAGGTCATAGGGCTACCGACAAAATTGCGATGGCATGCCTACGGATCATCCTCAGGGATGTTTCCCAGACCGTCGCCAATAGCCAACTGTGCAGCTCTAGTGCTACGTAAATGAACTACAACCAGAACAATTGCAAGGATACAAAAGTGTAAATTAGATAATATTATCAAATATTGTCTGCATGTGGCCCAGTACGGATAGTCACGATTCAGAAGACGATTTCTAAATCTACTCAAACATCTTTGTATACTTAGTTTAAAAATTAAATAAGATCTTTATTATTAATATTTTCACTTTTAAAATACAGCGTTTAGTTTTCGTTTTAAGGTTTTGTAAGAAAACCGCTCAACGCCAAGTTTTAGTTTTTTAAATTAACAAATTATCTGTTATAGCATAATTTAAATAGATTATTTGTTGACCAGAAATATTTTAACATCAAAAGGAAGAAGAAAAGCTCTATGTATCAAGCGGCTACTTAAGTATTCAGTTTTTTGTTTCTCTTGTAAAATTAGTTTAGGTGGAGATGACCGGTTTTCGAACTCGTTTACGTGCAAAAATCTCCCTTATTACCATCTCTTAAACTTTTTTAGGAAGTTTTATCTTATTACCAATGTATGACAGAAGATTCATATAAAAGTTTTTTTGTCCTGAATGTTACTATTCAATCTCCGTATCTTACCCTTTTCATTTCGAACCCCCAAAGTAACTCCTAAATCAGACAAATAAACCAGGGACAAATTTTCTATCATAAAACACTTCATGCATTAAATTTATGCGTATACTGCATTACACGGAGAATAAAAAGACAAAACTTCCCATGGTTAGAAGACGGTCAACCAGACTAGTTGGAATTTGAATTTAATGAGTTACCGAGAAGGAAACACGTTTTCTTGAAAAAATTTAGTTTAAAGTTACCTCTGGACAAACGTATAAGCGTATGTCAACTTATACTGGAAATTTAATAAAATGCATCCAAATGAGTTTTTTGTTAAATTATGTAAAAATAAAAAAAAGTTTTATTTGCTTTTCAAGTTAAAGCTACCTTCAAAAAATTTATTAAACAACTCGTGTTAAAACCA